AAGGCAAGTTGTGCAAAGGGAAATTAAGAGGCACAGGGTGCCCTTACACTTTGGTATTTTTCGGTATTATTACATGACTTTTGAGAAAAATTTTGGGGACATTTGAAAATTTTTCAAATTCAAAGTATTTTTCAAAATTACGGATTTTTTCCTTTTTTTTTGTTCAACGTTAGAGATTTTTTTCGTACCTTACCGGGATTTTAAGAATTTATTTAAAATTTTTAGTTATTCGATTTATCTTCTTTAGAAGTCTTTTTTTGACTTATTGAATTTCTCGAAGTAACCAATTTTTTTTTAGAATCCATGACCTTTTGGAACTTCCTGGGATACTTCCAACTTTTTCATGATATTTTTTTTTAAATCTTCGGGGAAAGATGCTGCATTATGTTAAGCAATAAACCATTGACATTTGGGGAATTATTTTCGAGTCTTTGAGCCAGTTATAGAGATTTTTCTCGAACTGTCCTAAACACAAAACAATCACTAATAATCTCGGCTTATGAATATTAGTTAAATTTTCTTACCACTTTGAAAAATAAATGCATAAATGTTATCCTCCTTTCAGATCACTACCAGCTCGGTGCTGCACATCAAAGTGCTTGACCACTCCAGTTTTCGCAAGGACACTTTGCTAGGCGAGCGCACCATCCACTTGGCGCACGTACTGCAACAATTCAATGGCAGATGCGAGTTTCTTGAACTTACAATGGATCTGATAGCCACTTCCAAATCAGATAATCGGCAAACAAAAATCGGTGAACTTGTCGCAGTGCTCAACGGACTCAAGCTGGACATGCCCGGCGCGGTGCAACAAAATGGTAATGGCGTGTCAATGCTGCCGCCTCCCAACGAAGGCGCTGTGTTGCCGCTTGCTGCCGGTCGCAGTTACATGATACAAGGTGGCATACGTGCGCGCATGCGCGTGCGCAGTATCGAAAACGGCATGCTAGCCGCATCAGCAGCTTCGGCAGGGAGTGGAGGTAGCGTGTCACACATGGCAGTTGCCGCCGGCGGTGGGTCACGTTCGCCCATAGCCAATGGCAATTTGGAACGCTGCAGCAGTGGTAGTTCACAAAATGGTGCGGTGCGACGTGCTGCCCCGCCACCACCCGTTTGGGAACAACAACAGCCAATGCCACAAACACAGACGCAACATGTGGCGCTACAGCAACAGCAACAATTGCAAGCACAACAACAACACCAATCACAAATGCAGGTGCAGCGCATACCGTCGATGAATGGCGGCGCAGTGGCGGTGAATGCTGCCGGCGTGCAAGTGCGTCCAATGTCGCAAATGTATGCGAATGGTGGGGTTAGTGGTCAGCCATTACCGCTGCCACTGCCGTCACAGCAACAGCCGCAAACACAGCAGCAGCTTATGGATAGTGCGCTGATGAGCGCGGCAGGCGATCAGGCTGCATTGTTGGCGCAAGCGCCAATGCCGGTATCCAATGTGACTGATCAGCAGTTGCAAGTGAGTAGCAGTAGTTTTTAAACATTACTTTTTGTTTGTACTTTAATTAAATGCATTTTTTTGAACGGTACACACAGGCCGCCCAAGCGGACGATGAACCGCTGCCTGCTGGCTGGGTAATACGCTTCGATCAGTACGGCCGCCGCTATTACGTCGACCACAATACGCGTTCCACCTACTNTGTTTGTACTTTAATTAAATGCATTTTTTTGAACGGTACACACAGGCCGCCCAAGCGGACGATGAACCGCTGCCTGCTGGCTGGGTAATACGCTTCGATCAGTACGGCCGCCGCTATTACGTCGACCACAATACG